CAGTGACAGCATAAAGTTTGCATGTTTAACTGTATTTTCATCTTCTTCTTTTACAATCGTTGTACTGACGAGGAAAGCAGGTTTATTTTTACATATATTCACCATCAGTTCATTTATTTATTTATTGGTTGATGTACAAAATAAGACATTTTCTAAATTCACAAATAATTTCAAGGGTGCTTTTGTTTTGTTTTCACAGGATTAAAGATGTTTTCTCTTTATTTTTTATAGCATAGACCAAAAAATGTAAGGTTCTGGAGCTCTACAGCACAATTTCTTCATAACGTGGAAAAACTTCAAGTGAAGTTGTAGTCAAACCTCAGGAATAATTTAGGTGCGTGTCTTTGGATGTCACATAAAATATCCTTTGCGTGCATTCTTTATGCAGCACTATGTGGATTCATTTTTGGTTTTGTTTTCTGTGTGTTATTTTGTTTGTGTTATTTTAATTATAGAACCGCTTCTGGGATGCATCTGTTGGAATCAGCAGCATTGTCTTAAGAGGGTGCGATCAGCTGGTGTTTTCTCAGGGTAACACGTCCAAGTTAATAAGTAGAGTTCTGTGTGAGATTTAAAGTTCTCTGTATTATTTTGGTATATACAAATAAGGAACATAGAAAACAATCTAACATAAGTGCAGATATTTAGTGAACATAACATCTATAAATCCAGTCATTTGCTAAACTGCTCCCCTGAGCAGTAACTGTTCAATCATAGCTTTAGGATGACAGTTTTTGACCTCTAGTTGTGCTATATGCTTTGATAGGGCCCATCACAGTTTAGAGCTTATGCAGGAAACCCAATGGATATGTGCACTGTGTTGCCAAAGGTACGCTTCTTTTTGTGTTTGTTAAAGAAACCAGGAGCCAGATTTGTGTCCGGTATCCTCACTGCATGCTTTGTTTATTTGCACGCAACTGATGCACATAGAATAATGCCAACGGTTCGACTGACATGTAGAAGTAGCATGCCAAGTGTTACAGGTGTTCTCCACACGAATGAATAATTCTACCAATAACTTTTCAAAGTGAACTATAGTGAATCATTATGATTACTGCCAATAAGCAACAGAGCTCCTATCTGGCAACTGAGAGCGAAATTTCCATCTCAGTGGTGATTCACAGTACGTGACTTCCTCATTGATAGACTATTAAAAGACTGTGAATGCTACAGCAACGATCATAAGCTGACAGCTTAGTCATAAACAAGGTGCTGCTGAGTTGTAAAGCCTATGAGCAGTGCTATCGGTCAGCAGACGTTTGTGCTGAAATGAAAGTAACAGCTTGAAGAAACAAGAGTGAACACAGTGAGTCAGAATCATCAATGTCCATTAAGCCGAATGAACAATGCGTTCACTTTCTGCTGTACAACTGAAATGCTTTGAAAACAGCAGCTCAAATCTGAGCTGAGGAAAAAAGCATGTAAAGTTTACATTCAGTGAGCAGGAAACTTTGAACTGAACTACAAGAAGTGATTGGAATCAGGAAACTGATTTGTGCTTTGATACTGAAGCGTCCATTCAAAGAGCCATTTCAGCTAACATACATAGTATTGGAAGACTCCTTTAAATCTTTGAATTCAGGTGTTTTTATCACTATCACAGGTGTCAACAAGAAGCACTCTGAGGGTGCAAACCTCCGCAGTTCGCTCCCCTGGCAGTGTTGTATTTTCTATATACTCATGTAGTTTTCCTTGTACTCTTTAAACTTACGTTAAAAACAAGTCTAAGTGCAGGCTTTTGTTATTTGCCCTATTGAAACCCATTTTAAAATACGTGATGTAATTTTGACTAGAGCTATTTTTTATTTATTTATGTGGGTATAGTACATGTGTAGCATTTGTTTCATTGTTTAGTAAAAGTCCTTTGAATGTAATAAATATCAAGGGAAAAAACATTTTTGATCAAAACTTTATTTTGTTTGTCCCCCCCCCCAAAAAAAACGTATTCAGGAACATTGTACATGTATCCACGGTGGTTAGGGCACCTGACAAGTATGCGAGGTGTTCCGGGCATGTCTCACCGGGAAGAGGTGGGACAGACCCAGCGTTGTGTACACGTTCTGACCTCATTCCTTTCCACTCCAGCGTCACTAAAAACAGCTCCATCATCACCCCATGTTGACCCACCTGCCTGGCTCTGCCCCTTGAGCTCATTGCACCAACCCTTCCCTGCAGCTGAGCCAGGGACCACACCGTCGCCACAGATATGGAAATGAAAGTTACAGGAACTCAGACCTCGGAAACTTACGTAAAGTGGGTGTAGTGCATACACGCCTCAGTACAGTATGTGTACAGCAGGTGGCCCAGAACCTTTATCCACAAAGTGTATTTTAATCATTCCTTTTCTCATGCCACCCCTCTCTGCCTAATTTCATGAAATCTGTCTGAGTCTTGCTAAGGTAGTGGGGAAGTGGCTTTGACTTTAACATGGGTAAAAAGACATTCAAACAGTTTTAGGAAAACAATTAATCTTTTTTATGCTTTTAGCCACCACAGCTCAATAAGGTTCTTTGAACTCCTTTTAGGTGTCAAAAAGCAAAAGATAATTGATTCATTAATGCTTGTTTTGGAAGATGAGTGCAAAGGAAGCTCTCACTGAAAACAGAGAACCAGACAGGAAGCCCAGCGAGAGTATCCCAGACGGATGTTTATTATTCTGACACTACAGTTTAGGTGTGCAACTGCAAAACAATACATGAGTCAGTGTGGGAATCCAGTGCTGTGTCATACCACTGCTTCAACAATACAGTAGAAATTGAAAACATTCCAGCAGAAAAAAAATAGAAAAGCTTTTCTAGTGGGTCCCATTTATTAAAAGGATCCAAAGTTTGAGCTAAAGGTGAGATTGATGAAAAATTTATTCAGGTGAAAAAAGTCTGAAGGTTGTGTAGATAAGTGAAAAGATAAAAAACAATTCTATCACTCTCCGAGAAATTACTTCCATTTCTTTTTGAGTCATCTCGGACGCACTATGCAGAATCAAATACAAACCAAAGGATAATTTTAATAAATGAGGCCCCTCTGTCCTGCCCACCCATCCCAAGATTGGCGCGTTTGTGGTTTTTCAGTCAGTTGGCACGACAAAGAAGACGGTGCTTCATCAACATGCTTATGGGAGCAGTTGCAGTTATGTGAGTGGGGATCATTGAGAAGGGAGAGAGAATGGAGGATCAGAAGGGTGAAGGTGGAGGAGACCCAAAATGACAAAACATAAATAAATAAATAATAAAACGAAAAAACCAAGGTGCTCATAGGAAAAGGAAGTGAGACAGAGCAGGACTTCTTACCAGGTTCAAGGCAAAAGATACAGCAAAGGGACGCTTCCAAAAAGTAGAGAAAAGCAAAATATTTTTTTCAGAAATAAAAAGAAAAGAAGAGAGAAGGGAAAAACTTCCATCCCTACTCCAGAAGAAATTCTCAGAGCACAGAGAAGGGACAGTATTTGGAGTGGGGGTGGGGTTGGAGGGGGGTTTGTACATTCAAGCGGCAAAGCCGAAAAATCCTGTGCTGAAAGGTGTGTGTGTAGGTGTGTGTGTCTGTGTGTATATAGGCCTCAGATCACAGAGTTGCCCTTCACTCGCTTGTCAAATTAATAAAGCCGAGGACGAGGACGCTGCTGTTTCTCCTCAGACAAGCCGTAAAGTTTCAGGTAAATTCGCTGACAGGAAAGCTCTCAAACTCGATCCAGTGCTGCAAGTTCTCCTGTGAGCCCCCTGTCCTGCACCTCATCATGTACTGCAACTACTCAGGGGATGATTTTTATGTCTGAGGACAGAATAGCAGTATTGCTAATGCAAAATTTAGGGTTACTTCTTCAAACTTATCTTACTTAGCACTTCCAAGGTGCTCACAGTCTTGTCTTAAGACTTGCTGCTGCGTGAAAAACAGACAACCAATTGGAAACCAATATTTTGAAGTTTGCATCCAGGCCAAGACTTCCTGTTCCGTCTGCTGATCATTGTTTGCATTGTTTACAAAATGCAAGTAAGTTTTTAAGAACTTGCAAAAAGCAAAACCATCATTAAATGGCAGCTGATGGTTTCTAAACTGCATTTAAGGTGCATTTAAGATGCAGCTCATCTTATGCTGTTGACTCCATGTTTACCTGCATAAAACCAGACTGTGCTCAGACCCTCAGTAGGTCTGTAGTACCTGGACTATAAGGAGACTATAAAAAGTCAATATGTGTCTGTTTATAGAGAACACATCGACCAATACATGATTTTTAATGAAAAATTACAAAAAGAAACCTTCATGGTGGATTGATCTGATTAGCACTTTTGCAGTGGTTTGGGTTGACACTCTGACCACTATGAATCACACATTCTCTTCCTGGTAAAGCTAAATTTTAATGACACTGTTTATTTTAATTTGAACTCCATTTGGAACGAGTACAAACATGACTGTGGAGGCCGTTTGAGTACAATGAACTCACTGTTGCGTTCACCAGAGCAGTTTGAGATCATCTTCCATTTTTTTTAGCTTTGTGACATAGCCCGTTATCCTTCAGCCGTCAGGAGATGGCTACACTGATCATAAAGGGATGGACACAGTCAGCAACAACACAGGTAGGGTGTTGACATTAACATGATGCTATATTCATACTAAAGGGCCCAAAATGTGCAAAGAAAATACCCCCTACACCCTTCCACCACCACTATTAGCCTGAAATATTCATACAAGGTAGGATGAATCCATGCTTACACCTACTCCAAGGTTCAATGTGTTGTCCATTCAGAGATGTTTATCAGCATACCTGGGTTGTAACAAGTGATTATTACTGTTGCCTTTCTATCAGCTCGATATAGCTTGGCCATTTTTCTCTCATCAGCAAACCCTAGTAATGGCTATGTGGGAAACTTTCAGTAGATCAGCAGTTTCTGAAAGCCTCAGACCTGCGCGTCTAGCACCAACAAACTCGTCACTATCAAACTCACTTAAAGTCAAGTCAAGTATTTATTTATTGTCATTGTCAAAGAACAATGAAATTGCGTTTGGGGCTTCCGTACAACCCGTAAATAAAAATAAAATAAAATAATTAAAAAAAAAAAAAAACACCTTTCTTTCTTATTCTGATGCTCACTTTGAGCTTCAGATGGTCGCCTTGACCATCCCTATGTGCCCACATGCATTGAGGATCCGCCATGTGTTTGGCTGATTAGATATTTTGTTAATAAGCAGTTGAACAAGTGTATCTAAAAAAGTGGCATTTAAGTGTTTATAAAATACATTCTTTAACCCCTCGCATTGAAAAGCAATGCTACTTAGTGACAGCAAGAGATCCTGAACAAGTCAGTTATAAATGAAACCAAGCTGTTTATTTGGGGTATGAATAATGTGTTTTTTTTTTAATAAAAATACACATTTTAGTTCCATATTTGATACATTGTACTCTTTGCTTAATGGATATTTATTCTAACACATATTTTATTGCACTGAATAATTTTAAGAAGACATTTTTGAATCAATTATAGGTGATGTTCTGGGTGAAAAGTTGACCCTAACGTGATACTTTTAGGTTAAGGAAGTACTCTAATTCTTTTTTTTTTTAGCACGTGCTGTATTTGTCTGTGAGGAAAATCTTTCCGTCAGGTAGAGAAAAACAGCATATGATATACTCCAAACACGAGTATCTGACATTGATCTCATGTCTTTTTGTGAAAACATATTAGACTCCTCCATAGCCACAAATGTAAAGAAATGATCCCTTTAATGTCTTAAAATGTTTCTAAGGAGTTTGTCTTGTATTGTGGCTTTATTTTTGTTATAAATTCTAATATGATAACATCCGACAAAACACGTCATTCAAATTCTCCCTAGACTTAAAGAAGAGAAAAAGTCTGGGATGTTTGGTACTTTCTGAGAGCTATTAAGTAATTAATTTTACTGCTGCACTCACTCCTCCTCCTGCTGTGTCAGTAAGTGATTTCCTAGTTTCCCAAAAAGCTTTTAACATTTCCATAGAAGAGTCTTTGTTGGTAGCTGAGCGTATGGTGGGGGTAAAGCCACAGTGAGTCATGCCCAGTTGGTCAAACTACAAAACCCTTTCACACACTACCATCTGCAGATCCACAAACATTAATGACCGCTGTGTATTTTTGTCTTGTACTATGTTACTGTGGCTAAATAAGCTTGTTTGGTAGGTCTCACCGTGCACAATGCAAAGTGTGAACAAAACCAGATCTTAAACTGAATTTCACAGCTTCAGTTGGAGAACTTTGAATATACGCAAGCCAATATGTGGAATGTAGCATTTAACTTGAGAGTTTTGATGTTTTCAAGATCTCTTGTCCAAAGCTGAAGCAAGAGATCAATGTGAAACCCCCCTGATGGATATACTTTGAATAATTACTATAATATCTCGCTTTGTGTGATATTGACTCCAACTGTTAAGTGACGTGAAGCACACTGGCATGTTTTGCACTACACACATACATTGGTAGCCATCATTGAAGATGATTTCTACAACAATCACTGGAGCCAAGTTGACTGAAAATGCTGCTGCGTTTCCCCTGAGCAAGGCACTTGCTGCTGATTCCAGCAGGGGATCTGCTTAGCAGCCTGAAGCACAGAGTATATGGCCCGCCGTGGCAAGTGACCAAGTGTGAGTGTAAAAAAAGATGTTGGTAGAGGGAATGGGCCTGTGCTGACAGGATGAATTTCCAATTTAAATTAAATGTTGTCATTTGCATAACTGCAGCCATTAAAACTGTATTCTTTCCAAATTGAACAACCTGATTAGCATGTCGTGACAGAAATCTAATGTCTAACTCGGACTACTGTGATTTTATGCCAATTAGCATCATAAAGTTATAATTTCTCATTATTTTTCTGCCTGTAGAGAACAGAGAGAAATGAATCTGAATGAGCCTTCACACCTATAATCACAAGAAATGGCAGGAACATTCAGAATAAATGCTTCGTTTTTGCTGCACCAAAAATGACAATTGTTTTGGTGAAGTTTCTCCAGAATAAAAATCAAGAGTTGTAACTGGGCTCATTAAAATTATAGCAAAACATCCCTTAATTTGTTATTTTTCAAGCATGGGTGTCAGTCAAGATCAGACAGCACAATATATGTCTTTTGAAATGGTCACTATATCAGTTTGTGCAGTCATGATGGTTTAAATTTCTGCTGTGAATCCTAACGGCACGCAAAGGGGGCAGAGATGAGGTGTGAGAACAGAAAGAAGACATGGTGCCAATAGCACCACTGAAAGGCATCTAGGTTCTGATTTGTTAGAATTCTATTGGTCACTTCTACTTTACAAATCAAGCAGTGTACATTCATCCATAGAGTAACAATTGATTACATTTCATCACTTTCTAGACTACATGTTTTATGTCGACAATGGAGGGCGATCGCTTTGGAACTTGCATGTATCTCCTTGGTGTTGCCTAAGCTACTAATTTGTCTTGTCTGTAGATTTCCTGGATCAGCAGTGTGACATTCTGACAGTCAATCAAGTTCAATATGATGCATTAGTCTGGTTAATGTGAATCCAAAGAGGTAAGACTTGTTCCTAACAGCCTCCTGGAAGACATCTTTAGGGTTTGTACTCCTATTTGTTCACATGGGAGATGATAGAGATTATCTATGCTTATCAGAAGCTCAGCAAAGATGTAAAGCGAGGCTAAATATTGAGAGGATTGATTTTAATATGATATAGAAATAATTGTATGCAGGTTCCCTCTAAGGACTGATTTAGCCTTCAGCAGCAGGAAATCTACAAGAGAACTTGTATGACATAACCATAAATCCCTTTTAACCCTATTTCTAAGCTTGGGTCAACAAAGCCTGGATTGACTGAATGGCTTGGAAGGTTATGGCATAGGGTTAAAAAGTGTTTCTTTTTATGTCATTAGATTTCTTGCAGAAGCAGTTTCCACACCCATCCACTCTTTTGACAAAAACCTATAATGGAGTATCTCTTTTTTTTGTCCTGTCGCCCTCCCTTCACTCCCAACTGGTCCCAGCAGATGGCTGTCGCTCCCTGGGCAGAGGAAGCAACATCCAGAGGTTTCTTCCTGCTAAAAGGGAGTTTTTCCTTCCTACTGTCGCCAAGTGCTTGTTAGAAGATACTTTGCAGCAGCATCAAAACAGGTTCTTGTGTTTAAACCAAACCATTCACTGTGCAGAGGACAAACTGCAAAATCCTCAGTTTTGAATCTAATTCTTTACTTTTTGGCATATTTACTACTGTTAACTATTTAACTTACTATTCATTCAGCTATTCATTTGATATAACCACCAGAAAATAATTAAATGTTTATAAAACTTTCATGATGGCTACTGTACATTTGTGTTCTTATCATTGTCTTATTAAATATGATTCTGAGAGTGTGTGTGTGTTTTTTCAGGGAATGAGCGCTGGTAGGAGGAGGGACATTGTCCAATTCACAGAGGACCTGAAAAGACTGTGACTTCTGACAAACCAACTGATCTGCCTTGTGTGAAGAAAAGGTCTTTGCGAGCCTTCAGGGTTCACACCACGAGACGCCTTCACACTGCATGTGTATGCATGAAGCAAATGTGTCACTTCTCACACGTGTATTTGTAAGCACTGCGGAGCATAAAACTGCTCCTTCACATGCAGATTTTTTACAAAAAATTATATCATAGAAAGTACACTATTCCATTTTTATGACTTGCTAGCTTTGAGGCAAAGCTGTTGCTGCTTAGTTAATGGAATTCAGAGCAGGCTTCAGAGAGACGCTAGCTGGTTAAGACTGCCGTGTGTGTTGCTGGGGCCGTGGGATTACATGTCACTGTGCTGAGTGGACTTTTGCGTGAACTGTGTTATTTCCCCAAAGCCTTCTTGTCACCCCAACTTTACCCAAAAGTGCATTCTGCCATCCCTGATTCATGCAGAGGAATGGAACAAAAAACCCCAAAGAAAACTAAACAAAAAACATCATTCATCAACGAGATTACAAAGGTACAATATTCTGGCAGCGTACCCGAGTGATGCATAGACACAAGGAGGGCTCAAACAAAACAAGCATTTTTCAGGGTTTACATATCAAACTGAGGCCAAGGGCATTTCTGTAATCAAAAATAGAAATCAATGATCATTATTATTATTATTATTATTATATATATATTAGAAAAACATATCAGAAATTTCCCTCCCTGTTTTAACAGATGCTGATCCTCACATCCGAGCATCTCTGTGGCGAGAGAACAGAATCACACATCTGCTTCATCTGACAGGCAAAAGAAATGAAACAAAACCTCTGTCCCCTTATAACTTCTCTATGTATAAATAATCCATGCACAATCCATCTGCCTGTAAACCCTTTGAGATATTCAATGTTTATAGTGCTACTAGTATGCAAACCCTGAATGTCCACATAGTAAATTCATCAATGAAAAATATTTATATGTACAGTGTAGCTCAATAAAATGTCTCTTTGAATCTTATTTGCATGCAGTCAACTGCATAATATACAGGCAATAAGTACGTTTAGTAGTTGTTTCTTTGGCAGGCCAGAATCCAGCTGGACATGCATAGAGAGGTATGTACAATCAAAAAGAAACCAGAGTCCGGGTGACTGGAGAGTAAAGACTCTCACATCACCTGGAGACAAAAAAAATCAGTGTGCAAACAAGAAGCCAGTTTTTTTTTTTTCAATTTGGAATTGAGACCAGCGGTGTACGAGAGTCCAAGAGGATGCCCAAAAATGAGAGTAACCTTGAATTGATAGAGCTAATGTTAATATAATCTCTGTTAGTCCAGTGCGCACTCTGCACCGCTGGTTCAGCTCTCTTCAGAGCCCGTCGTCTTTCTCTGAGTCTGGAGAAACGGGCCTGGAGACGGTGAAAATGTCTTGCCGTTGTATTTTGGTTTTGGGCGTGGCAGAGGCAGGTGGCGCCCCCGTGGACGGCTGTCTCTTATCCGACAGCAGTTTGATAATTTCAGCTACCTGACTCTCCAGGGCGCCCAGACGGCCTCCCAGAGTCTGGATGTCCCCCCGGAGCTCCATCCGGGTCTCGTGCAATGCAGCCTGCAGGGCCTGTTCCGGTATGGGGCAGAAAGAGTGAGGGGACCCCACTCCTCCGGGAAGAGGGCTGTGGAGAAGTGGGGTAACTGCCGCTGGGGTCCGCGGCTCCCCTGCCCGGTCGATGCGCAGCTCGCTCTTAGTGATTCCACTGTCACAGGAGTCCGTCTTGCGAAGTGGGTTGTTGCTGGAGACCCCACCTTCCTCTCCATCCCTGCTCCCCCCTGTTTCCCGACCTTTACCGTCCTGAGAGAGCATCTCCACGGAAACAGCTTTGACATTGTTGTTAAGACCCTCCTTCCTCGTCTCCGCTGGAGCCATGTTGTTTTTGAGGCGCATCCAGCCACTCGCCTTGGCGGCCGGCTTTCCAAGCGCAGGGCTGGTGCTAACTTTGAGCCTGACAGTTTGCTCGCTGCCCCCTCCAGCAGAACTGGGCTGCAGCTCCATGATGTCACAGTTGTTCTGCTTTGCAGGTGCCTCGCTGGGATGGCCGTAAGCCAGAGAGCTCTGCATGGGTGTGACCTGAGACACAGTCAGAACGCTGCTGCTGGGTGGAGCCCCGTTCTGCATGGAGGTGAGGGGCCGCTGCAGGGTGAGCGGCAGGGAGTGCTGCAGACTGGAGTGGCCGAGCTGCAGGGTGTGAGGATGCAGGTGCTGGTGGTGCTCCACCTGCAGCTGGTTCTTCTCCAGGTCTAGTTGCGAGGCAGCTGCGGCTCCTTGGTTGCGGAGCTCCTTCTGCTGCTTGAACTTCTGGAAAAGCTTCCGGACAGGATGGTCCTGTGGGATGGTGAGCTGTACCTCGTTCTTCGCTCGCTGTCTCTCCTCCTCCTCCTTCTTCACCTCACTGATCTTGCGGAAAATTATCTGCGGGGGAGGAGGGATACACATAAATAAGCAAAATGCAGCTTATCAGCAAACATCATTTCATATGAATGCTATGAATAGTAATTCTGTCTCCGGTGCGCCCCGATGAGCATTGCACATAATTCATCAGAGATAAAAGCATTTTTCTACAACAAGAAGTAAACAAAGATTTATTATTGTTATGGAAATCTGACGGTCTGTTTTAACATTTTTCACTTTAGAACACATGACACATTCTTTCTGCAGTGCACTCAGGTACTGCAAAATGTAGCTGACTTCTGGACAGTCATGTTAAATTATCCATCAGTGCTCCTACACCTTGCCTGTATTATTCAGCCTGGCGCCAGGCTCTCTTCTGGCTCCTCTTACACCCTAATTACATTGGAAATGACAGAAATCCCTGCCAGGCAGTCAGCCAGCCATCCAACTGGTAATTTAAGTGTTATTTTTGGTTAAAATAACGGTGCCCAATGGATGGGGAGCCGAGTCGATGTTTGACTTAAAGATGGAAGCGAGGGGAAATCGCTTACTTCGCTGCCCAGCCATAATCGACCCAACTGACCACATCTAGCACATCTCCTAAACTCCTTCCATTCATCCACCCATACTTCCTGCTCGTCCAACCTGCTGCCGAGAGCTGCTGAGCCAACCCAAGCTAGAAGCTGCTCTGAGCTAGAAGAGAATCTGTGGTGGGAGTGGGGAATGCCTTACGTGTCACTTCATATCTCCATGTCTACCTGGAGGCATAAGCTGAAAGATTAGCACTTTTAATTAAATGAATTTTTGGCAAGAAGAGTACGATTTGATAAAAAGTAAATGAGAAGCTATCACTGGTGGGCTTTGTTCTCTTACTCATTACCTTCTGACAAAAACAATGAGTCCACTGTTGCTGAATACAAATCAGGAGAATCTCTGTCACAGCTGAGCTGATGATACATGATGTGATCGGATCAAACATGATGAACCGTCATTGCTTCATATCAACTAAAGCAGTAAATGTTCCTTCCTATTATCATGATATGCATTGCAGATGTTATACAAAGTGCATCTAAACAGTGTGATTAAAGTGCTTCATCTGGTAAAGTGAAAGGGATACTGAGTGTCAGCTGAAATTAGATTAAATGTCAGCAGAAGTGAAAGTGCTGAAAGGAATTAGTGTCAGATAACTGTCAAGTAAAACAGAGGTTTCTTTCATCACAGTCCAAACTAACTCCCCCAGAAGAAATATCTGGAACAAATTAGAGCTGGGCGATAGAACGATAACGATATGTATCGCGATATAACTTTTACTCGATAGAGAAATTAAACTATCGCGATAGACTTCGCCGCTCTTGTCCTCTTAAAAAAAAACAAAACTGGTCAGCCAATCCAAATTAAGTAGCGCAGAGCCGAACCAATCACAGCCGCAGCGTCACGTCACGTGACTTATTACGTACAGCACAAGTGCCAAGCCGCACGTGTGTTTGTTTGGGAAGCAGCCAGCGCATAATGGAGGAAATGAGTGTGCCGACTAGAAAAATCAACCGAGCGTGACCGAAGAGAAAACAGATGATGGTTCCAATGCCGGAGAGATTGTCGAACGGAAGAGCCATAGAGGTTCCGTAGTGTGAAGGTATTTCGGCTATTTCAAGTCTGACAAAAAACAGAGTAGCGTGCACTGTAAATTGTGCCGAAAACAAGTCTGGAAATACAATAAACTGGTGCATGCGTCACACTGCGCCACGTTATTGTTTCGGTGAAATGAATTTCTACAATACTGTTACTGTTAATTCTACTCTCTGCAGTGTTTAAATGCTTACATATACACACAGTTACTGTCCCTCCACACATACGACTCGGTTCTGCTTCTATGCCCCAGCTTTGTTTACTTTTTCCCACCGAGGCTTCTAGACTTCTGATTGGCCAACATTTCTGCACGGTTAGGAATCTAGCGCCACCTGCTGCTTTGGCATGTTCATAGCAGCGTTTTCCTTCATTTCTGCCTTTATGTGTGGACGGATTATTTTTTAAAACGAAAACGGATATTCTCCGTTTTCAAAAATACCCGTGTACGTGTGGACGTAGCCTCAGTCTCTGACTGGAAGCGCTAATTCGTCATTCGGCTTTTGTCAGACTAAAGTAACTGTTAAAACTGTTTGAAAAGCTCAGCTATACAACAAAGAGAGATTGAGAATTTCCTTTTAGTTCTCAGTTTATTTGATATTGACAAAAGTTAGTCAATTTTGTCTGTTCTTCTGTAAAACAAACTAAGATTTATTTTTAGAATTAATATTTTGTTTCTAAGTGGAATTGACAATTTAGTCTGTTTCGTTTGTTCTATTTTGAAACTTGAACGCTTTAGCGGCTGCCTTTTGTGTAGTTTGCAATATTTGCCTTTATTTATCTGAAAAAGTCTCATGTTCCTTAAGTACATCTACCCTGTTGAACTTATTATGGGAAATAAATATTTAAATAAAAACAAGCTGCTGATTATTTCACATTTTACTTGTGAGCAACGGCACATTTAAATCTTACAAATATAGTTATTTGGCTTATATCGTGATAGATATCGTTATCGCCTGAAATGAAAAAAACATATCGTGATATGAAAAAATCTCATATCGCCCAGCTCTAGAACAAATATATTTTTGCCTTTTGTTTGTGTAGATGAAATGTTTCACTGACGCTTCTGCCTGTTCAGTCAATTTACCGATTGAAAATGCTGGCCACAGGGACAATCTCAGCCAATCCTCTTAGAAAACTTCACATAGACCTTAGTATTTGAGTTGCTTTAGTGCACCCACAGTGGCTACTACCTGCAAGCCCCTTTACAACCCATCTTGGCCCCAACTCCTCCTTTTAATGAAGTTTTTAACTAAAGCAGTGTCTTGCTGCTGGTCCTAGAAGAATGCCACCAAATTAAAAAGAATTAAATGAATGATAAATAGACTGGCTCTTATTATGCTTTTCAACTCGAGCAAGTCATGGTTTAATCTTGCCCAAGGACACTTTGGTATGTAGACTGAAGCAGCCAGGAAACAAACCACCAACCCTCCAATTAGTAAATGACCCACTCCACCCTTAGTGGTTATTTACAAGCTTAAATAACCACTGACTGCTGATTGCTCACTGATTGTCCTGACTGAAATCACATTTTTGATTGGTTAACTGTTAAATTACAGTCTTCTGGTTTAGAAGCTTTTTTTTTTTCGCGCATCCAAATAAGCTGTCAGTGCCCAGCATTAAGCTAAATCTGATTAGGTCTAGAGCAGTTTTTAAATTTTTTTAAATGCCATTTTACTGGTAATAGGGGCTGAAACTGGTAAGTGATTCAACAGGAAAATCCCTAACACCGCAGGTTATTTAAGCTGCAATCCAACGCCTTGTTAATCGTGTCTGCTCTGTTCAGTGTTGGGGTTTTGCTGCTGCTCTGGGTGGGGAAGTCACATAACAGACAGTGGTGATGAAAATAACAATCCTTTTGACTGCAGTGGCCCAAGCTGAACCACAGCTTCTTTAGTTACAGCGACAGCATCTGTTCCATTATGTCAGGGACTTTTTCACAATAATAATAATCTTATAGTGTTTTTTTCCCCTTCAAGTTCTCTGTGTTTCTGTTTCTGTTTCATTTGGGCATTAATATTTAATCTTTGCACACTCTTGTTGCTGACTATCGACCCTGAGGCAGGGATGCTCACTTCACCAAGAATTTCCTGTCTAATTATACAAGTCGTTCCTAAACTCACGGCGTCTTTTCAACCAATCAATCAGCCAACTCTTGATTTGAACTATATCGTTGTAGGGTCTTTACCTTACAATGTAAAACGCCTTGAGGCAGTTGTTGTGGATTTCTGCTTGACTAGTTATACCCGAGACTCAAAACTGACTCAAACTTATCAGCTGGTTATTGCCAACATATGGCTCACACAAACTAACTCTGCTGTCACTTTAGGGATGAACTACTGAACTTTGAGTACTGACAGGACTCAACATTACTGGTTTCTTGGAAGAAGACATGACAAAGATAATATTGATAATAGTTTGTGGTTAAATACAAAGTGTCGGGTAACCAGTGTTGGGTGTAACGCATTACATGTAATGCATTACTTTAATTGCATTACATTTTTCAGTAACAGTGAAGTAACGGATTACTATTAAATTCAGTCATTTAAATCTTCTTTTATTCATTTTTAATTATGTTGTTACTTGTGTTACAAAGGTTATCCAGTTATCTGGCCGAGGAATAAAAAATAAAAACAAAACATCAAACAAACAGCCTTTTCCCCCTGCGTAAATGGGCTACAGTCATTTGATTTCAGTTTGTGTGCAGGGCTACAGCTTTTGAGTAGAGATATGCACATTACTTGTATTTTTATAGCACAGAAGGACAAGAGCTTAATAGTAAAGTGGAAACTGCATCCAAGACAGAAACAAATGGATTTTACTGATAACAGAACATTTGCACAGACAGCATGCTAACGCAAAGCTAGCCAAGAACACAGAGGGATTTTAAAGCTAAGTGTATGCCGACCCCCAACCCAGCAGGCAGAATCCGAACTTAAAACAGGTATCAAAAGTAGTGATGAGTCATTTGTGTTTCTAGAGTATGAAACAGTGTGACGATCCTATCTCTTTGGGCTGATTTTCAACTGATTTTCAACTTTGCTTTAACTAAACTAAAACAAAGACTAGTTATGTTCTCATTAGAATTGGGATTCAGATTACAGTCCCACAGACTAACACAAGGTTTGCATTGTTAACTGATAATTACGAAACGGTGTGTTTCAGCTCATTTTAAGGACTAATGAGAAAGTAATATAATGAGTAGTGTAACAAATTACTTTCTCCAGTGAGTAGTTACGTAACATACTGCATTACGCTTAAGAAAAGTAATGATACATTGATTTTCTGGAGTAAAAATCCCAACACTGGTTTTAACATGTAGAAACATTAGATCCAAGTTCTTGTCTCTCCTTTTTGCATCTCACTTTTTTTTTAAATCAGGAGGATTTAAATTTTTG